TAAGCAGAAATAGTTTTTTGGTCAGATAGAAAACTTGGTTTTTATTCACAGAATTTTCGTCTGATGTGGGCTTTACAAGGTAAAAATGGATAAATGATGAGACCTGTGTACTAATGGGCAGTGATCCGTGTCTGCAAAAACTCTTCCTTAAACCTGACATTCCTGAAGAACTTGGTAGATATATTTTTTCGTTCATGTGCATAGAATATTTACTCTATACTATATGTTGTGTGTCAATGTAAATTGCTGTAATGGTCCCTTATCTTCAACTTTGGTGCATTTATTGTCTCCTATCGTTATGGTGTTACCAAATTGTTCCTTACGCAAATATTTGAAAAAGGATTATATTGCCTTTCCAGTTAAGTTTGAAGCAAATGGTATAAGAATACAGAACATGGGGTATCTCTGGGAGAGGGGGGGGGGACCTAGCTTGTTCTACTATTTGTCTTCTTTAACGCATGTATGATGTGTCTATATTACTGTGGCTCAAGAAGAACACAGAAAATACTTAAAGAGGGGTAATATACAAATAGAGTAAATAATAAACAGACCAAAAATTTAATCTAGATAGTACTCAGTAATTTTATGAGCTAGTATTCGTTTTTTTTTTCTTATCAGTATTTTGTTTCACTTTTGGTTCATGTTCCACGACCTTTTTCCGTGCGTCTGACTGCATCATAGTGCAGTTGTCTGTTTTGAACAGAATTTCCCTTATGCTAAAATTTGGTCTTGTGATAGTTTGGTTACGGGAAGAAATCTTCTTCTGATAGTTTGTTCACGAACTGACAAGAAGAAACCTTCTTCCTGCTAACTCCTTACAGGTTGATCGTTTGAGATCAACACATTTGAGATTTTCTTATAGCAAGAGTTAGTTTTTTGCTTTACGATCCAAAGGTAGGCCTTTTGGTGTTTGTTGATTACTTTACCTTGACTCTAGCCAACATAAGGACTTACTATATTAAAGCTTGTATACTTAAGCCTCTTTTTGATGTATTTTACTTTTTTAGTCTCTACTCTCTAGGAAAGAAAGCCTGAGCCAAGAGTGCTGGTGATTGATTACAAAGAGCCTAAATCTGTAGGGATATTGAACCCTCTTTATCTACAAAATCGAGAGTGAATGGGTGTTCATGCCATGGGATTACCATTCTAAAAATCAGACCTTTGACGTTACACACGTTTGGTATTCTTTCGAAGTAATTATATTTGTTATAAGATGTGTTACAAACCTTCAAACAAGTGATCAGTGATACTGGTTCCTTTCTACATGACATTGGAATTTCCATCACATATCTTCTCAACAACAACATACCTAGTGTGGTCCCATGAGTGTGGTTTGGGGAGGGTATAGTGTATACAAACCTTACCGTACCTTGTAAGGTAGAGCGGCTATTTCTGGTAGACCATCAACTCGAGATATATGGGATCCATGTCTTCTCAATAACTGATATATGGGATTTGTGAAAGATCTATCTCTGATTGGTATTATTAAGACCAAAGTGTACTCTTTTCATATCATCTGTTGGAGTGTGTGTGCAGCTATGGTAGATCCCTTGACCATTTTAGCTGTCTTTTTAGTGCTGGTGGGATGGTTGGGATCCCTTCTGGATGGGGAATCCTTTACTAGCTTGGTAGACCTAACTGGTACAATGCTGATTAGTCAGACTAGTGGGTTTCGGATACTGATTATTAAACCAAAAAAAAGAAAAAGATTTTGTGGACATTGATGTGGATGTTCTGTTCTTTCTCATAGTGTTAATTATCTGGTAAAGCAGTACAAGTTACTCTATTTGTCTGATCTTTTCGTTAGGATGCAGATCCTTTTTTTTCCTTTCAAATTTCGTGCTGTCTTTAAGATATTTGGACCAGCACCTGTTTTCCGTGGATGCTACTGTTGAGTTTTGTAACGTGGTGATTCAAGTTGGTCGTCTTCAATTTCAGTCCTCTTGACAAAGTTTGAATTTTAGGATTTCAAATAGCAAAATTATTTTTCATACCTCCTGTTATTTCAAATTTATGCCTTGAATACTTTCCCTTTTTCTTGTAAAATTGCTCGGAAGAGAGTTGCAAGGCGTACAAATCTGAAACCATATAGGCATGACATGAATAGTTTGCTCTTTGTTGATTGCCTACTCGCTTTTCTAGATGTCTTGTTATTTGGCCTAATGGTATTGATATCAGTCCAAACTCAGCAAAACGCGCTACGTCTACATGTTACAAAAAACCACCTTTTCTTATTTCTGTTCTTAAGTTCAGCATACCAGCTTGTTGTCTTTTTAGTGACTATGTTACTGAACTCTTTTACCTTGCACAGGAGCTGGAGAACATGTTATCCGAGTTGTCGTCTGAACCAAGATATCAGCTAAGACGAACGACTTCATTCTGATCGAGTGCTTTCTCTAGTTCTTTTGCAGAAGTTACTATAGTCTTGATAGATATAGGAATGTGTATCCTCTATGAAACATCTAATTAGGGAGTTGGGAGATAGATCTTAGCATGTTTGATCTTTGTTTTATCTGTATATGTTTAGATGCACATGAAAAACTGAAGATGAAATGGACTCTTACCTTACTGTGTCCTTTTTACTTTGTAAACAAATTTGCATTTTTTTTATTAAAAAAAAACGAAGGCGTTGATTTAGTGGTAAGATTACAACACGTGATGTGGCCCTTCATAGGCCCTTCCTACATTGTTCAAGAAGATCCGGTATTCAACTTTATTTATGTCGAGCGACAAGAGGGGGTAGAAAAGGTATTGATAGATATCGATAGTTTTTCGATTGTACCTAAACAATAATAATATTTTAGAGGGAAAAACACTTGAGATTAACTTTCTTTTCGATGGTTTAGGCACATGTTGTGAGTTCGAGTCTACTCGCAAGTGGGTCATACACTATTTTTAAGACTAAGTAGGTGTTTCGATATGGAATTTTATCTCGTAATTTGAAATTCTAAGATGCAATCAACGTTTGGAATGCGATTTTATCTCTTGATATGATTCTCGATTTTTTTTTTTTGAGAATTTCATATGATGATTTAACATTTTTTTCAAATATAAAATTAACCCACAAGTTTATATTTTGTAAAAAAAAAATGTTCATTTTATAGTATACATTTATTTCATATATAAATAAATTTTGTAGTTGATACTATTACTCTTACATAATTGTCATAGCTTGTGCAATACTATCTATTTTTATTCACGGAATATGAACATGATGATATAGTTACTAATGATATTGACCTACAAACGGCCAAGTAAAAATCCATAAGTTAGTCCAAGTCAAAAATAAATCCAAACAGGTTCTAAATGATATTTTTGGTACATTTTAGGTATCTTAAGTTTAGAGTTTTGGGCAAAAATTATCCCTCAAGTATAACCCAAATTTAAAGTACATCCTTATGGTATAATAATGAACAAAAAACATCCTTTAACTATTCAGAAGAATGGTTATTGCTAAGTTTGGGATAGTTAAATGATGTTTTTTTGTTCATTATTATTACCATAAGGATATACTTTAAATTTAGGTTATACTTGAGGGATGATTTTTGCCCAAAACTCCTTAAGTTTACAATTACAAGATTTAATAGTCTTCGTTATTTTTTAAATGACGTTTTAAATTATAATCAGATAAATAGATATTTTAATGAAGAAAGTAATATAAACGATAGAAACATATTTGAGACCAACTTCAAATGAACGGAGAATTTATTTTAAGAACTCATAAACCCATACCATTACTATTTTAGTGGTTAATGAAAAACTTGGTAACTAATTTATTTATTTTTAGGTAAAATAGGCTAAAGATTATTTTTTTTTGTAAACGAAGAATAACTTTAAATCTTTCATATAATTAGTGTTTGGTCATAAATTTATAAATATTTTTGGCAAGTTATTTTTGAGTGACGTTTCACCATGCGTTTGATCATGAGTTTTGAGAGAAATATTTGACTTTTTTTTAAATTTTTTTTATACCCATAAGTTCTAAAAATTACTCATATATTTGTATTATCATTTCATAATGAAAATGTTCTATGAAAAGCCATGGAAACGAATGTAATTAATATAAACTTGAAAAAGAGGAAGAAAACAATAGGAAAATATCATTGCTTTGCATACGAAGAAGTAAGAACTACTATTCCTCTTTGTAATTTCAGAGAGCAAGCTCAAATAAAAATTGTATAAAATATGTATATAACTATATAAATTTTGTACAACAAACTAGGAATGCAATTTAGTCCAAAACTATAAATGATGAGTGCTTTTATAAAACAAAAAAGTTTAGGGTAATTTTAAATTAAAAAATTCTCAAAAACTAGAATTTTCTCAAATTCTATTTTTTTTAGAACTTGAGAACTTGGGATGTTTGTCAAATATATTTACCGAGTAATAAAATTATATAGCCTAATACTAGTTTCCAAATTTTTCTTAAATATATTTATGGAACACACCCTATATTTAGAGGTAAATTTGACGCTTTGCCTTTTATTTTATTTCTCATAATTTAGAAGTATTTTTAACCCCCTTTTCCCTTTAGAAAATGAAATCTTTGTAGTGTCTTTCTTTTTTCCCTTTCACGATCTTATAAAATTATGATTTTTTTCTCAAAAAGAAAAAAAACTTTTATGTTAATATTAGTGAAAAAAATAGTTTTAAATTTTGATAAGAGAGAAATTCTATCAAGCAATTAATAGTATCATTTTTACGGATTGTTTGGTTTTTTTCTTTTTGAATTAAATTCAGAAAATCCTGTTTGATCATGAAATTTCAGAAAATTCTGAAACTAAATTTTGAAATTTAAATGTTGTCAAAATTATTTTCACTCCATATCACTCGTGTTAACAACTAAACACAACTCAAAATTTTTAAAATTTTATTTTTTAATTAAAAACAAAAAAATATTTTTTCTTTTTCAAATTTCATGGACAAATTTGCCCTTAAAATGTCGAAAAATACTTGGTATGATTTTGTTTTTTAGAAACAAAAACATAAGAAAGCAAAACCCCTAAAAGCTTCGCTCTTTTATCGTCAGAACAGCGAGAAGACTTCTTACCGGTGAAGATCGGAGATTTCGCCGGCGCCGGATTTTTCTATTTCACACTTCGAACTACAAGTATGTATCCCTCTCTCTCTCCCTCTCTCTCACACACAGTGTAATTTGCAATTGAACGGAGTGGTTATAAAGAGGGGCATTAAGTAGTTTGGGATTGAAATGGAGAAAAATAGTTATGGAGAATTCATGTAGCTGATATTAACTAGTTTGGGATTCTGAGATACAGTTGATTGATTGTCTGATTTGTTGTTTGTAAGCGGAAAAACAAAGGCATCTCATGCTCCCAATTTTGATTGATTTAACTCCTTTTTTTTGTATTGATTTTTGTAATTTGAAACTGTAACTTGCTAACCAAAGGCAGCTCAAGCGCTTACCCATGCCAAAAGTTATAGTTGATAGCAAAGGCACAACTTTATTTCTTAACTAAGTCCATCAAAGCAAGTCATGTTCGATCATGACTCTCACCCGGGCCACCTTAGTCCCCTCGTGGGCCTTTTCATAGGCAGGATGTAGGCATTACCCAACAATTAACTAGCTAGGGATTCAAATGGAGCAGAATGGTTATGGAGGATTCACATAGCTGATTCCAACTAGTTTGGGATTCCGTGATACAGTTGATTTATTGTTTGCAAGCAAACAAAAAAAAGGCATTTCATGTTCCTAATTTTGATTGATTGAGCTCTCTATTTCCTCTTAATTTTTGTTGTTTGCAACTGTAATTTGCTAGCCGAAGGCAGCTCGTGTACCCACTTTTTACATAGGGAGGAATTAACTAGCTAGGGATTGAAATGAAGCAACATGAATATGGAGGATTCATGTAGCTGATCCCAACTAGTTTGGGGTACGAGAAATAGTTGATTGATTGATTGATTGATTTGTTGTTTGCAAGCAGAAAAAAGGCATCTAATGCTGCCATTTATGAATGAACTTTTTGAGCTCTCTTATTTCCTCTTGATTTTTGTTGTTTGCTATTGTAATTTGTTGCCAAAGGCAGCAGCAAGGGCTCCGATTGTAAATGGCTTTTCATTTTGTTCCATATTATTCTTGTGATTTTGTAGTTCCCTCTACTCTACAAAGGTAGATGTAAGGTTTGCACACACTCCACACCCCAAGATCCCACTTGAGGGACTATAGTGGGTATATGTTGTTGTCCTGTATGAGTTATGAATTTCTCCGATTTTTCCTTTCTAGGATGCATTTTGGTATAGATTTTCCATGAAAAAGGTTTTGCCATTTGAGAACTTTATATATAACAGTCATTTTCTAGTATTTGGTTGGATATAGAAGTAGGTGAGTTTTGGTGGTATTTTTGAGTTTTGAAGATTGACAACAATGTCTAATTGTCCTTTAAATCAAATGAAATCAAGTAAGGGTTGAGATGTTGATAAAAAGGAAATTGACTTCTACCACTAACCAATGTAAGTTGTTTACTCTTTTGTTTTGGAAAATTGTGTCCTGGGAGAACATATTTTCCAGATTTCAAGCCAACCGAGCACTTGAAAATGGTTTCATTAAGGAAGATGTTTTAAAGGAGAACACTTTTCATCGTAGCAAACACACTAATAGTTACTATCATTTTTTCCCAAAATTGTCTGCTTTATCTCATTCTTCCAAACTGTTTGTTGCCTTGGTATAATCTATCAGGCCTCCTTTGTTCTGACAATTTTTTTTCTCTCTGTTGTCTATTTGTCCTTTTCTAGTTCTTTTATCTTTTAATTTGTATTGATGCTTTCGGGGAATTAACCGTGTGGGAGATCCTACTCCTCAAGTTACCTACTGAAAAGAAAAAGAGATTGTACTCTTCAAGTCTGCTATCAAAAAAAGACAAATCTCACCTTTTTTTTTTTTTTTTTTGCTTTTCTGGTATATCTAATTCATCAATGATGATAGATTGCATTTGGGTCTGGCAAAATTTAGTGAGGAACTCTACCGATGTTTGGGTCCTAGCCTAAACGAAGGAAGAGGGTTGGAGCAAGTTGAGGGCAATGTAAAAGTAGTCATAATGAGATGAAATCTCTGAACATTTTATATAAAGGATTCATATAACCTCCTAAAAATAGTTTGGAATCAAGGCATAGCTGATCAAATAATGTTTAGGGAAAATTTCTGCACCGATCTTGCTGTCTACCTATTTGTGTTATTTACCTCTTCAGAGCTGTCAAGTTTATCCACGATTATTTGTATACCATCGGATGCTGATAGGCTTTTCTTTCAGGATAGGAAAATAAATGTTGGCAAAAGGTAGAAGAGTTGCTGGGAAGGGGGAGACAGTGCCTGCAAATTATGCTTTTGGCCCGCTTGAAGATGATTCAATTATTAAGCATAGACTTCTCACTCGCACAACAACCACTAGAGGTGAACCCCCGTTGAAGAAACTTCAGAAAAAGTTTACTGCTTTTGCTTTGGAGGTAGAGAAGGAAGCTGATAACTATGGTGATTGTGAAAGACTTGCCAAAGCTTTCTTGCAAGAGCTAAATACATTTGAGATTCCGCTCCTAAAGAGTAAAGCAGTCATAGATGCAAATCTAAGAGAGAAAGAGAACTTCAATGACCTAAAAGATGAGATAAATCAGCAAATTTTACAAGCTCAGGCCGATATAGAAGATCTCAAGAGGCAACTTGAAGAAAGCAAGATAGAGAGGAAGCACAAAGAAGAGTGTGAGTCCATCAGGAAGTTGGTTGCTATGCAGCCTCCAAGATCTGAAACTCAGAAGGTTATTACAGAGCTTGAGAAAGAGATAGCAATGTTGGGGGCAGAGAATACTGCTAGTTCAAGAATGTTGGAGCTTCGTAAAAAGCAGTTTGCGCTTCTATTGCACGTGGTACGTATCCCTCTATAAAGTCCGTCTCCTGATTTCTGCAGGGAATTCTAGTTGGAAATTCTTAATTGCTTCTACTGAATTATGATAGCTAGAAAGACTCTAGGAACTAAAGAGAACTGACATAATGCACTAATGAGCGACATGTCCACAACTTATTTAGAGAAATACAGGATAATTCTCGTTCAATAAGCTTTTCACATTTTGCATACTTCCTTTATGTACTTTAAACATCTAAAATCGGGTAAAGACACTCTCTTTACCTGACTTCCCCTCTTAGCTTTGACTGTTTTTTTTTTTGTATCAATGTCAACTCTCTGATTTTAATAAAAGCGATAGTGAAACTCTGGGGAATTCATATGAAAGAAGTAATCATCATCAGAAGGTGAAAATGCCAGTTTCTCAAAGTTTTCTTTGTTCACTTCTAGTAGTAGTGGTTTTTTATTAAGCATCATTTTTGAAATTATCTGAGGTTTATCCATTTGTTCTCATCATGATTGCCTTATAATTCTAGTTTTCTGACCTACAAGGCAATCGAACTTCGTTTCTTTTTTTTTATTGACAATTGCATTTCTCTATCTATTTAAGTCATCAGTATTAGTTCATCTCAAAGATGTTAAGTGATATATAGGTCTGACAAGGGAACTTCTGTTGTTAACAATTCTGAAGTAACTTTGCGCTGAATTTCCTCTTTTAATTGTTATTTCCTTAACATTTCAATGTACATGATTTGAGTGTTGATTAAGGGTTTCAATGCTTCAAAAGAACTATAACATAAGAAGAAATAACTTAGAGCCTCCTTGCTGATTCTTGTCTTATATGTCTAGTTTTTTGACAGTTAAGCAAGACTAATAAAGAGATGCATCTTATTCTGCTTTGCCTCTTATAGAAACTTGCCAACATTATGGTCTTGCATACTATAAATTGATGAGAGAATGATTTTTAAGTTTACTTATTGAGGTGTAAAATAGTTTCCTGTAACTAGTGTTGTTAAAAGCCATCCATCTATTTGAAGCAAAGGGTTGTTGTTTCACGGGTGAACCCATGTGTTTTAGAGAAATGTTTGCTTCTATCAATGACTTGTAACCCGATCCAAACAAGGATGAATTGGTTCGTTGAATCTCAACTTTGAGGATTACACTCAAAAGAAGGTGCAAGTAGCATACATAGAGGACAAAAGTAGAAGGTCGCTGGAGATGATATGGTCGTGTTCTATAGAGATATCCAAATGCACCGATTTGTAGGTCTTGAACAATGATAGGTGTTAAAAGAGAACCAAATAGGCCTAGCTCGAGTGGCAAAAGGTGGAGGATTTGTGGCTTAGGTCACAGGTTCAAGCCCCACACCATGCAAAGCGAAGCCCAATATTTAAGTGGAGAAGGGTAGAGGGGTGGGCCCATTATCCACGATTTTAGAAGGCTGTGATTGGTCCACAAAGGGCGGGTCACATGCAGATTTCTTGGTTATCAAAAAAAAAAAAGAGAACGAAATAGACTTAAAATCACATGGAGAAAGTTATATCAGAAGATTTATAATCTTAAAGAACATGTAGAATTAGCGGAAAATAAAATACAATAGAAGAGGAGGATACTTATTGTCTATACCAACTAGTTGAGATCAAGGTTTAGTCTTGTTGGTGTGCTCATATTAGTCTAATATTTGCTAGGAGTCTTTTTGATCTTGTTATGGCACTTGTATAATCAATATAAAATGTAGAGAACTTCTAGTTTTAGAGAAGCTAATCTATTGTATCTAAGAATGAGAGGTGTCTAAATGGAGCGAAGTGGAGAGTGAGGATTCATATACCGACCCAACTAGTTCGGCATTGAAATTAGTTGTTGTACTGTCGCATTTGGTGGAATAAGTTTCCTGTTAACGTGAAGTATGTTTCCCTTGTGAGCCTGATAATCGCAGAGCTAAGAAGTTCAGTAAATTCAAAAATGAGTTATCCCCATCTTGGGGAATTATTTATATATATATATATATATATATATCACACACGTATATATGGTGGTGGAGAGATTGAATTTTATGTCTTAAGAGACATTTGAGAGTTTGTGGCCCATAAATTTCTGTGGGGCAAGGCCTCACACTCTCAAGTATCAAAGTCTGAACCATAGCACTAGGTCAAGGCCTCATTGGGCCATTCGCAAGAATCTTATTTTCCCATCTATGCCTTCAGTTTTTGTTGTGAACCTTCATTCTTAAGATCAACAAGCTCAGTGTCTAATGATTAGAAGGGCGATGTAACTAGTAAAGGTTAGAGGCCGTTATGTTAATGCACCCCGTATTGATCATTTACTTGTATCTTTAGGGGGCTTTAAACATCTCAAATGCTTGAGCTGCTCCATCACTGTGAAGGGCTATGCTATAATTAGTTTTGGCCCTTCTTTTCCCGTTTCTTTATCTTCCACAGTATGATGGTCATATTATGCTAATTCACATTTTGAGCTTTCACTGATTTATATACATTCAATTATTCACTGGTTTATTGTCAGTTGTCACCTTGTGCAACTTCCAATTACTATAAGTGAAGTGTCAATCTAACTTACCACCCATGAAAAGCAACTGACGTGTAATAAGCAGATGGCATAGGTAGATCGTAGATAGGTAGATAAATACATTCTTGTAAGCGTGTACTATATTATCTGTATCTTGAGAACACTTCGATTAGTGATTATGGATATCTTTGCTGATGTTCAAACTTTTTCCTTAGGTTGATGAGTTGCAGAACACAATAGAGGAAGAACAGAGGAGCTTGGTGGAAGAGTTGAGGAATGCAGTTGATGATCATAATAAGAGTGGGGTGGAGGATGGTAGTGGGGGTCCTGAAGCAATGGCTGTTGATTAGCAAGTGAGTACACCTAGATTCCGTAATTATAAGTTTTCTTTACATCATCTGACTGTAGCATCTGTCACAAAAGATGGTTGATGTTGGTTGAATTTACTTTTACATTTATAAGCATGTAAAGAATATTTACCCAATGAAGTTGACGAGCTTAAATACATCAATTCTATAAAAACTAGCAATGGTACCTAATATTGGAAGTCAAGTCTATAAGTGCCATAGGCTGTAGCTTTTGTATGATGCATAACTTACTTCATATTAGGGAGTTTACATCTCAGCATTCATGAGGTGCAATGCTAGTACTGCATAGTGATACTGGTGCTGGATAGGCATTTACTTCTTCCTGACAGTTCCTTTTATGTTATAGTTCTACAAAGTTTAACCTTTCAAGATTGGTCAGAGTCAAGTCGACAACTATGGGCAATCTGAGCTCTATCCTTGGAAGTATAGGATAAGTTGGCTTTATTTTGATTTGGTGCTGTCGCCAGGTCACAACCTTGTCCTGAAGTAGGGATAGAATTCACTATTTTACAATGATGTTGAAGGCATAATCCAGCAGGTTGCAGCAATCATGTTTGGTAGGGTCGAGGGGCTGTGAAACCTTTCTTAGAATTGAACATGAGAAATAGTACATCACATTGTGCTGCACATGTAGCTTTTTATGTCATCTTCTGGCTTCTTAGACTTACCTTTACCCTACATGCACTACATACGAAAAATGTTAACATCTTTAAGATTATCGTTATTGTCTTTGTATATCTCAGTTAAATGACTTTAGTCTTCATTTATGCAGTTGGTCATACTAAGGAGTAAGGACAAGCCTTTGTCATATGACAGATATTTCCTACCAATTGTTGTATTTTAGTAAGAATTTCCAATCCCCTGGATTTTTCGAGGCATAGCGTAAACATCCCCACCCCTCAAAGGGCATTCATTTTCTTATTTTTATTTCGACGATGTAATAGCTTTTCGATATGTTATTTAACAATGGGACTTGGATTAGTTTCTGGTTGTAGAAATGTTCAATATGACAGTCCTTTTATTGTGGCATCTTGAGTTTGACATACACAAAATGGTGTGGCTAGAATGGAAGATGGAGTTATACTGATGGAAAACATGAAACATGGCATCTCATTTTCATTATTATTGATGGACCATTCTGTTTTTGTTTGATTGAGATGGCATTCAGTTTAGTAATTTGATTAATTATCAATTCACTCCACTTAAACATATAGAATTAGTCCACCAATCGAGGGTCTATCAGAAACAACCTCTCTACCTTTCAAAGGTAAAGGTAACGTTTATGAACACTCTACCCTTTCAAGATTTCACTTATGTAAATACATTGAGTATGCTGCTGTTGTAATTAGTCAACCATGAAATGTTATAGATGGCTTTAATTAGTCAACTTGACCAAATACTTGAAGCAATGTTTTTATCTCCATTCTTTATTGTTTAGAAAATTAACAACTTATTCAGCTACAATAAGTTGTCAAGTTTGACGTTGAAGATAGAGTTTGTATTTGGTTATACTATTAGTGAACCTGAAAATGACGCATTTTATTTGAAATTGAAGATAAAATTGGAAAATAGTTTTGGAGCAAACTTCTATATTTTAAAATTCTTATAATCAAATATTGATTTTAAATTAAAATAAAAAAAAATATGTTGAAAGAAAAGGTCAATAACTCGAGTTGAGTGTCATTGAAGATTTTATGATTTAGATGCAAGCTAAAAATTCATTAAAAACACCTTTATACAAAGTCTTTCCATTTCAAATTGGAATAATAATTAACTTATGGTACTAAGGTGTAATTTTGTCTAATTAAAATGATTTCTTGTTAACCTTACCTATAGCCATTGTGTTTTGGGTGTATATATTTTGTATGCATTTTTAAAAATAATAGTATTCGATATTTACAGAAAAACAATATCGAAATACTTATTATATACACGATCTTTATGTATTTTTATAGAGATAATAATTATAATTTACTTAATCTAAATATAAATTAACAAAATGCCTAAAAACTTGAAATTTCCAATCTAAAAGTTTCGTGCCTTTATTAGTAAATAGAAACTAAATATTTTATTACATATATTCATATACATGTGTTATTGTTCGACTTAACACTAGAAAATTTTCAGTCATTTCAAGCGTACAAAGAGTTTTTCACCATTGCCAAATTTATAATTCCCCAGATTATATATTAGTCAACATCGAACACATTAAAGTTATCGACTTATTTTACTACACAAATTGAAATCGAAACATATTGCACTTCATATAATAATGACATGATATTTTAAAAACTAAATATCTAAATAACCAAATCGAAAATTTTCAAAACTATACCATATCATGAACACCCATGATTGGCATGTAATTTGAACTCTTTTCATTTCAAAATGGGATAAAGACAAACTTATGGGACCAAAATGTAATAATATTCTCTAATGAAAATGAATGAACTTTTGTTAACCTTTCCAATCACCATTTTGATTTTTGTCATGTAGTTGGTGAGACAACATATAGTAATATAAAAGTGCACCACACATGGCTGAGTTATGGTGCAGTGGTGAAATTACTTCACTCTTAATAAGATGTTTCGGTTTGAGTCTTAGATAAGGAGAAAATTCTATTGAGAGTGTCACTCCTAAATGGGCCCTCGTATGCGTGATCCAAATTTAGTATGAGCTCTAATGTGGGCTCGAAACACCAGATAGGAAATCAAAAATAAAATAAAATTATAAAAGTGCACCACAGGCGCATCTTAGTACATGTCACTGTAGAACAGCACATATAATCCCATCCCCTTTTTGTCTCCTTTCTTTCTCTTAGGGTTCATTCATTTTCTCTCTCACTCCACACTGTCTACAAACCATCATCTTCTTGGTAAGACCCAAATCCCAATTTTTCATTTTTTTTTCAAAGTTTATAGTTTTAGTTTACATAATTCATGGGTTTTATTTCAAATTTGTCATCAAGTTGACATTTTTATTTATATCTTTGTATGTATCTGTATGTGTTTCTATATGGGGTTCTGTTTTTTTTTCAAGATTTTGTGTTCTATGCATACTATGTTCTTTGATGAAGTGTAAAGGAGCAATCTTGATGAGTAATTTGTATGATCTTGTGGATTGGAGATCATAAGAGGGATGTTTTTTGGGTTGATTATTTGGTCAATTACTATATATTTTGATGGTCTTATTCTTGTGAAGTTACTTGGTACTTGTGTTGGTAGGAGGTAGTTGGTATTTAATGGGATAGTCGAGGTAGGTACAGGTGGGCTCGGACACCATTTGTTAAAAAAGAAGGGTTTTTTTACCCCGTGTATGAAGAAGGGTGATCCTCTTCTAGTGTGGGGTAGGAGAAGTAAAAGGCATATACAGTATGCTGCCTTCTCCTTGAATTTATCCAAAAGGAGCAACTCTACTGTTGCACCGACCTTGAAATGTTAGTGAAATCAATAAATGAGGTTTTGAGAATTCTTTAAAGTTCAAAGTAATTATGGGATGAAGTTTATTTGGATGAAAAAGAAAGTATAATGTTAATGAAGTGGTTTTGGGAGTTGTTCTTAGTAAATTTGGGATGGAGTGTATTTGGATTTCACTATAGCTTTGGAAGAAACCTCTCTATCTCGTCGAGGTAGGGGTAAGGTTTGCATACACTCTACCCTTCCCTAAGCCCAAACCCCACTTGTGGTATTACTCTAGGTATGTTGTTGTTGTATAGCTTTGGAAGAATTATGCTCCAATTGGTGGTTTTCCCCTAAGTGCTCGAACTCTTCACTTTCGATGCTGCACCCGTGTCGACACGATGTGGGTGTGGGATCTGTACCCAATCTAGTCAACTAGTTTTGGCTACTTTGACCAAATTTGAGGGAGAGATTCTGGACGGATTCAATGATTTCTATAATTAAAACTAAGGTGGAATTGAAGAAAATGAAATACACTGCATATATAAATTTTTATTGTCACTCCCTTTCCTTTTATCTCCTTTCAGGATTCTCCTTGTGATCAATATTTTTCCTCAATTTTTCCACACAATATCTCATAATTTAGGTTTTATAACTCTATTTTTAGATATTTGAATTATATTTAGCCAAATCTCCCCACCTGTATCCATACATGGATCCTTATACCCGAATCTTAAAATTTAGATCATTGAGGATCCGACTTCTAGATCCATACCCATATTGGACACCCTCGCCCGAGTCCGAGCAACTTAGGTTTTCCCTCTTTGATAAGTCATAGAGAAGGATTTTGGAAAAGAAGAAAAAACCACTTCCTTGATGAGAGTAGTAGACCTCTCCACTTCCAACCGAAAGGTCGAGAATTTGAATAACCATTGGTAAATGTGAAGAATCCATGACTTACAATTTTCTTATTAAATCTCGGGTGTACTTGACTTTATGTAGTCATCAATTCTCCCGAGAAATTCCTAGGGTGGGGGAGTTTTTTTTTTTCATTGGGAGAGGGAGGGGTGGGTTTTCCAGCCCCTGAAGAAAACAAAAAAGAGAGATCTTCTAAAAATGGCTAAAAGTGGGGAAGGGAAATTTAAGATTTGGAAGGTTTAAGATGACATGTGTTTTGGTGAATATGATTGATGCATGACGCCACTTTTGAGCACTACCTGATACTTTATCTGAAAACATTGTCTTATTTCATATAATGAATGTGGTAGTAATCTCTATTATAGTTGAACAGTTAGTTTTGTGGGTGCAGGATGGTCTGCAGCTTGGTCTAAAAGGTTCAGGATTTGTTCAAGGAAGTACTTATAAGGGATGTCGAGTGGGAGCTATACACACTGGTGCCACAGATGCAGGCAGCCAATTCGGCCTCGAGGAACTACTTGTCTTTGCCCAAATTGTGGTGGAGGTTTCGTTGAAGAGCTCGATGACATGGTAGGTACTAGATCTAATATTGAGGCTGATCCTCATTTTGGATTGATGGATCCTTTCCCGGACCCAAGATTTGGTATAATGGATGCCCTTGCTGCATTCATGAGGCAGAGAATGGCAGGAAGAAACCCAAACTTTGACATTAGGACAAGATCCGGTGTTGTTCCTGGAAGTGGCAGGGGTTTTGGTTCTGGTCCATGGTTGATATTTCATGGCCAAACTCCTGTTAGTATGACCGAAAACGATGCATTTGAGTACTTTTTCTCCAATGGAAGCCCGGGAATGGGGCATCGGCGACCTAATTTTGATGATTTGATGGGGCCTGGTCTGCAACAGTTAATTGAGCAGCTCAGTATGAATGACCGGCAGGGGCCTCCGCCGGCACCTCGTTCTGCAATAGATGCTTTGCCTACTCTCAGAATCACTCAAAGGCACCTCAACGTTGATTCTCAGTGCTCAGTTTGTCAAGATAACTTTGAATTGGGTTCTGAAGCAAGGCAAATGCCATGTAAGCATCTTTACCATTCCGATTGTATCGTACCATGGTTGGTTAGGCACAACTCGTGCCCTGTTTGCCGTCTTGAGCTGCCTTCACGAGCTTCTGCGAGTGCCCCACCCAATTGGAGTTCCAGAACTGGAAACGTTAGCAGTGGCAGCAACAGTAGTAGCAGGGAGAATAGCAGTCAGAACCAAGGGAGGAGGAATCCTTTTTCATTCTTGTGGCCTTTTCGCTCGTCCAACCAAAACACTAGCAACTTCACTGAGAGGGGAGGAGGAAGTAGCTCAACAACACCCTATGAAGAGAACAATGAAGCAAATTACCCTGCGTGGCGCTTTTAATTATAGAAATTTTCTTTCCAGCATCTTGGATTTTGCCTACTTTCAAGGGTTGTGTTGAGTGCTAGATCTTTGAGTTATCCTAGATGGAGTGGAAATGTTGTTTACAGTATGTTGTAATATGGGATGGAAGTTGTTCTTCAAAGGTGTATAGGTGGGAAACATCTTGAAATGGTTTAAGGGACTTCTGTAAATGATGTTCTCAAAATGTTAATGATACAATGGTTGTTGATAATAAATTTGCTTCTAGTTAGAATTACCTCTCTTCTTTCATTGTGTTAAGAGTTTTCTCAGTAATATTTGTATTTGTTAATTTCTTTTTGATAGAAAGATCCCTTGGGACACTTCAAATTAAATAGAAGAAAATGGTACTTCCAAAATTTTTACGTTAAAAATATAAAATCTCTTATGTGTAAAAGATATCATACTAAAAAAAAGTTTTAAAACTAATTCTCGCAGCTAGTTTGATTAGACATAAGAAATACTTTTGTATAAAAAATTTCAAAAGGAAAAATAGTAAATATAAAAGTATATGATAAAAGATAATTGAAACATTTTCTATTGTTTACCTTATATTTTTTCTAGGTATAATTGAATAACCATAATCAAGAAATTACTTAATTAGCGTATCATCATCTCCTTGTTGAATTGACTAAGGGCCCGTTTGACCATGCGATATGAAATCATGAAATGAAATTGAAGTTTTACTTGGACATGCGATATGAAATTTTTGTGTTGTATATTTTCTCATAAACATAAAAATTTCATAAGTTGTAAAACTATTAAAATAACCCTAATTGTTTATTCAATCTTATCAAATAAACAAAAAATTATAAAATCGCATAATAAATATTACAAAACTATTTGTTCTCCACTTAAGTAATTGTTTCATCTAACTTTAATTTAATAAAAAAAAATTGAACATAAATTGTAGTGTACTAGTCTTTATGGTTGAATATAAATAATTATGCATTTAAGCTTAACCAACCTAATTTTCATATCAATTTATTAGCGTAAATGAAGAGAAGACATTTCACTCCATGTTCAAATAGATATAACTATAGTTGTAATAAATACAAAACGGTAGAAGTAATAAATTAAGTGTTGGAGTAAATGAACAGAACAAATTTATTACTCAACAATCGATTGATGTGAGTTAAAGTGACTATATGTTGGTGAGAATAATAAATTTTATGTCGGTGAGAATAATAAATTTTAAAAAGTAATGATGTGATTATAAATTTTATTTACATATGAAATAAATGGTTAGTAGATATAAATTTGGAGTTGTTTGAACAAAATATAAACTCGTGCATCAAATTTTATATTAAAATATCTCAAATCATGATATAGAATTCCATATCATGGTTTTTGGAGAATATGAAATCACATCTCATGATATGGAATCAACATAAAATCACATGTTCAAACGCTGATTCCATCAAACAATACCATATATCGCATGGCCAAACGCCTACTTTTACATTCCAATTTCATTTTCTTTAAAAAAAATAAAATTCCATCAATTTGATACAAAAGAGCATTGAATAAAGACAAGAACTACAAAGAAGAAGAAAAAATTCTGTTAAACACGTTTCTGAAATCCTTCTTTCCCCTTTTTTGTCCTGTGTTGTATATCTTTACCTACCTGAAAAGTGAAAACTCACAAAAAAAAGAGAGTAAAGATTGAATCTTTTTGAATTGTATTGGCAAGAAACACAGTTCTTGAAAATGGGGTTGAAGAGTTGAATAATTTTGTTCAAATTTTGCTTTTTATTTCACTTGGAAACACAGTAGCTATGGCTTCCTGTAATATTCTTTGTAGTGTCAAACTCCAAATTGATTCTTTTAAAAAGAGCTGTTTTTCTCAATCATGGTCAAATAGGCCACATGGGTCATCCTATTTTAACAAGAATTTTCAGTTTAGAAGAAGCAGTTTTGTTATTGTGAAGGCTTCTGATTCAAGAACTAGCAAAAAACAAGTAGAGGTAACCCTATTTTTTTGGGCATAGTTTGTTTTTTTTGTGAATTTTTATTCTCTGCTGGTTTGAATTTGATTTTCTTGTTTTATTGTTCTTTTGAGCTGTAATTGAGTAAAAAGTTTTGAGCTTTGACTGAACTTTGTTATGGGGGTTCTTAGATAACATATAGTAACTCTATTTTTTTGTCATAGTTTGGCTTTTTTTTGTGAATTTTATTCTCTGCTGGCTTGAATTTGATTTTCTTGTTTTATTGTTCTTTTGAGCTTTAATTGTGTAAAAAGTTGTGAGCTTTGATTGAATTTTGTTGTGGGGGTGCTTAGATAACATATAACTCTATTTTTGGCATAGTTTGGCTATTTTTGTGAATGTTATTCTCTGCTGGTTTGAATTTTATTTTCTTGTTTTATTGTTCACTTGAGCTGTAATTGTGTAAACAGTTTTGAGCTTTGACTGAATTCTGTTGTGGGGGTTCTTGGATAACATATAACTTTATTTTTTTTAATCATAGTTTGGCTTTTTTTTGTGAATTTTATTGTCTGCTGGTTTGGATTTGATTTTCTTGTTTTATTGTTCATTTGAGCTGTAATTGTGTAAAAAGTTTTGAGCTTTCACTGAATTCTGTTGTGGGGGTTCTTGGATAACTTATAACTATTTTTTTGGTCATAGTTTGGCTTTTGTTGTGAATTTTATTCTCTGCTGGTTTGAATTTGGTTTTCTTGTTTTATTGTTCTTTTGAGCTGTAATTGTGTAAAAAGTTTTGAGCTTTGACTGAATTTTGTTGTGGGGTGCTTAGATAACATATAACCCTGAAGAGAAGTTTAATAAATTAGCTGATGAAGTGGATAGGGAAGCTGGGCTTTCAAGACTCACTCTTTTTTCTCCTTGCAAGGTAAGTTAATCAAATTAAATTCTTATCAAAACTCCTTTGTCGATTTTACCTTTAATTCTTTCTTTTCTTTTGGCAAATCTGCTGTCCTTTTGTGCTGCAGATAAATGTTTTCTTGAGAATAACAAGCAAGAGGGACGACGGATATCATGATTTGGCATCTCTCTTTCACGTAAGTGTTCGACTTCCCTTTTTGTGCTTCAGTTTTTTTGCCTGGTGAGAAATCAGAACATGGTAATGCTTGAAAGAATCCCATTGGAATTATACTATATTACTATTCCCTCTGTCTCAATTTGTTTGTCGTTTTTTTACTTAACACGGGTTTTAAGAAAGTAAAGATGATTTTTGAATCTTGTGGTCTTAAAGTAAAGATATGTTGAATGTACCAAAATGTCTTTGAATCTTGTGGTCTTAAACATGTAATATGGTAAGTTATAATTAAAGAGTTGACAAAAGAGGAAAGAGACATTCTTTTTCAAACGAACTAAAAAGGAAAGTAAGACAAACAAATTGAAACAAAAGGAGTATATTGCAAGTTCTGAAAGTTCCTGTTACTGTGGTATTTTTGCTAATGAAGTTCTGGAAGAATGAATGATTAAGTGTATTATAGGTGATGAAATGATGAGCCCTTTTGTTCGTTCAGGTAATTAGTCTAGGAGATAAAATAAAGTTCTCGCTGTCACCATCGAAGTCAAAGGATCGTTTATCTACTAATGTTGCTGGAGTTCCACTCGATGAGAGCAATCTGGTAAAGGAAGAAGCTATATGCTTATCTCATACTCATCAAATTTTTAATGATCTGATTGGTATGTTGCTGATTTTGCCACTCTCTTTGCAGATTATAAAGGCCCTCAATCTTTATAGGAAAAAAACTGGAACAGACAATTACTTTTGGGTAAAATCTTTAAATTGGTAGTGAATTTATCAGTTTGGAATAGCATTTGGGTACATTGCAACTGGTTCAACTTTATCACCTATTTCTCTGGCCAGATTCATCTTGATAAGAAAGTGCCTACTGGAGCTGGTCTTGGTGGTGGGAGCAGTAATGCTGCAACAACTCTCTGGGCAGCAAATCAATTCAGTGGTTGTGTTGCAACTGAAAAGGAGCTCCAAGAGTGGTCTGGTGAGATTGGTTCTGATATTCCTTTCTTCTTCTCTCATGGAGCAGCCTACTGTACGGGTAGGGGTGAGGTATGCTTTTACCTAGCATTTTGCTTCCAAATGTCATATTCCTTCCAGTTGTGTATGAGATTTTGTGGTTATCCTTGCATCTCTTTGGGTCTCTAGTGTTGCTAATCAGTCTCTGATCAGTCGAGTGGAAAGCTGTAACCATACCTCAGAAAGAGGGGGAAAGCGGTGGTTCAACTGTGGTGAGGCAGATTAAAGGGTTGAGGTCATCTGCCTCTTACTAGCCTGTATGGCTAGCAAGATTTAAAATTCATTATCATTGACAAAGAAGTTTTATGAAAAGTGACTAGCAACTTGTTTCTTGTACCTCGTTATCTGTTGTTCCTTGTACCTCGACTATTGTATTGTTTTGTTGTAGTTTTTGTTATGTTACTATTTGTTGTTTTGTTATTATCCGTTTTTTCTTGTACTTGCATTACTTCTTGTTCGAGACTGCTTTGGATTATTTTTTTCCTTGAACCACCACTTTCCACCCACAGTGGTCAATGCATGAGAAATGGCTTGTAAATTGCTAGAAGTTATTACATCTGATCTTGTCTCTTATAAATTCAAATTATGGAACTATGCATTTGTTTGTTCAGGTTGTTCAAGATATCCCATCACCCATACCATTTGACATTCCAATGGTTCTCATAAAGCCTCAACAGGCATGCTCCACTGCTGAAGTTTACAAGGTGATACAAAGTGAAATTAATGAACACGTTTCGGATGAAAATATAAGATTTTGGTTATCGAAGTCTTAAGAGAAATTTGGTTTGACAGCGTTTTCAGTTGGATCTGTCTAGTAAGGTTGATCCCTTGAGCTTACTGGAGAAAATCTCAACTAGTGGAATATCTCAAGATGTGTGTGTCAATGATTTAGGTATGAGTTGAAGATTAGACACCTTAAAGTTTGTTCAAAGAAACAAACACATATATATCTTCTCTTTTTGTATGTGTGTGTATTTCTAAATTCATGTGCATTAAAGTAACTCTCCAAGTGACATTGCTCAAAGAATAGGAAAACTTTCTTAAAATGGACCATTCTTGTAGTTGCTTAGTCTAGTTCGGGCCTGTAGGGTGGCGATGCTAATGTGAATTTCCTTCCAACTGCATAGTCTTGGTGCCGATCAATAACATAGAAATGCAACTTTTTAAGCGCACTTTCTTCATTCCCTTGGTTTCACTGAGTAAAGGACTAATCTTTCTATATCTACTTGAGTTTCTCTCCTTATATATTGTGTGAAAATGATAACTTCATTCAATTGATTGCAATCACGCAACATGAATCTAAAAGCTTTACTCCTTATAATGATATATTACTTTTAAACACCGTTGTGAAACATATTTCATATCCTTTTCTAGGAGTCTGCTTGTCAGTTACCGGTTTCAGTTCTGTATGTTGTGCACGAGAAGTAATTAGATGATTAGTATTTAGGTTTCCTTGTCCTCTTATGCCGCAGCAAGTAATTGTTTCAGCTGGCAAGGTAGAATAGATTCAAAAAACCAGACTGCTACACATGAAGTAGATTGCTTTTGATTTTACCTGTTCCTTTCATGCTTACCTTTTTGGAAAATAGTGGTTATTTTTCATCCGAAGTTATTGAGTCTGCATATGTGACTTGTGAATCATTATTGGTCGAATTTAGTACTTAAATATGCATCCATTTGGAAATCAGCAGAATGGATCTTGCACTTTGAAGATTTTTTTGCTCAGGATTACACTCATTTGGCATTGATAATATTTCTTGCAGAACCTCCTGCCTTTGAAGTTCTTCCATCTCTTAAAAGGTTAAAACAACGAGTAATTGCTGCTGGCCGAGGACAATATGATGCAGTCTTCATGTCTGGAAGGTATGCTTTTGCCTTAGTCTGGTTTATATTCTTGCTTTTTCTCTTTTCCAGATTGCCTTGGTTCAAACCCTTTTATCATAATTTTTTTTTCAATTTCCTTGTTCATATATTTGTCATTCATGCTTAGAAATATTAGTCTTGGACTAAATATATATATTTGTATTTGTTTCTCCCTATGCACATTTTTTTCATTAAAGCCCACTCTTTATTTGCACTTTGCGCTTAATGGCCCAACAGACTTTAGAGTTTTTTGTTTCTAATAACACCGGTATGTGGTAGCTTTCTCATGTGCTCTTGCAAGCTGGAGCTCATTGCTGACGAGAAATTTTATCTCCTTTGCTGTCTCTGACAGGATAGAAAGTTAAACTACGTCTTATTCCTGCACTTTGTTTTTAGTTTAAACTGTTACTAATTCCGAAAATGAAATGCAGTGGAAGCACAATAGTAGGGGTTGGCTCTCCAGATCCACCACAATTTGTCTATGATGATGAAGAATACAAGGATGTCTTCTTGTCAGGTAAATAACAAAACATGCAACAACATTTATTATACATTCTGCATCTAGTTAGTTTACATTATAGTAATCTAACTCATTTAGATTTAACTCTTAAGTAGGATAGGAGAAGGGTAGAGGGGCAGTCCGTTATCCACTGAGTTCAAACCATGTTCCAGTATGCCCTTGGGATTTCCTCAGTTATTCACCCAGCGAAAGCAAGGGGTTTGCCTTCTGGGTTGAGCTCGTCGCACCGGGCTTGCCTAGTGCGGGTTACCTCTCCTATGTGGTTTGCGAGCTATTGCATAGGAGCGGGGGTTTTACCCTGTGCGCACCCAAAAAGTAGCGGCTGCGGGTTTCCCTTATCATCAAAAAAAAAAAAAAAAAAGAGGATGAACTAGGGTGGCATTTAGAGTTTCTGAGTGGATGTGATTTCAGATCCCAAGCCCTCCTGATCTCTCAAATAGGAATACATACATGACATTCAAATTGTTTCAATTTGCTGCTCTCACAAATTTTGGGATATAATGCCTGATACTCCCCTCGCCTCAAACAAAAAGGAAAAAAAAATGAAACTCAGAAGAAGATTCGATCAAGTCCGAGATTGGGAGAAAACAACAAATAACAAAGTAGTAACTCTTGTCAACGCTGCTTCAGTATCAATTTATTATTTACGATGTCTTCATAAGATGCAAAACTAAAGCCGCTATTTGTGTCAAAGTCGTTTTAGAAAATGAAAAAGGTAAGCATTTTGTAGGCATTAGAAATGAGATCGGAGGACTTCAACGTGAAGTTAGCATTAGTCTATTGAAAGATACTCTCATCTTGGAAATGTGTCCTATTGATATACTGGTTAAAGATGTGAAAGGGTGTATTCTTGTAACCCTTATATGAATAACTTCCCTTTTAAGTTGAGGATCTTTCGAAAACAACCTCTCTACCCCACAAAGGTAGGGGTAAGGTTTGTATATCTCACCCTCCCCAGTGGGATTACAATAGTATGTTGTTGTTAAGGAAAGCTCAATTTCAGTGAAGTTAAGCTGCTTTTGGACATATAAATGTGCCCTTTGACATTTTCCATCGCATAATTAGCAGCCACTCTCCATAAGGTTTCACTGTTCTTGCTATGACCATACCCTGATTACGCGATACTGAGGAAGCAAAGAAAGATTCTTGCTTTGGATTGTTTATGAATGTTCACTACCGAATTGTATATCACTGTGTAATTCTGCTCTCTCTGAGATATCTATGTGTGTCATTGTTGTGAATTTGCAGAAGCAAGTTTCATCACTCGACCAGCCAACGAGTGGTATGTGGAACCTGTTTCAGGTAGCAATATTGGTGATCAACCTGAGTTCTCCACATCTTTTGACATGTCTTAAGGCTCAGAAGAGCCTGTGAATTGAAAAAATAGGAGAAGTTTTTGTTGTAAATGTTATGTCCTATAATTTCTGTAATCTCATCCTTTCACTTTGGATGCACTATTCAAGAAAATAAAATTAGTCACAATCTGATCGAAGTGACAAATGAGCGGGTTAGGTTAAATTTGAACAGGTAAAACCAATAAACATGTTGTGATCCTACTAGTTTTACTTGAGTTGAAATGAATTGGATCAAAATTGATTAAACAATAAGGTTATAGTCCGACCCACCTAACATAATTCAACCTTCTCTCTTTATTTTGTTTTTTTTCTTCTAAAAGATGTGAAAAGTAAAATGTTTTTAATTTTATTAGTATGTTGATTTTAAACCGATTGCTTTTTTAGATGTATTTTAACCTTATCAAAGGTTCATATGACAGTAATAAGAAACCTTATTATTACTATTAATCCACTGCTACTATTATTATTTATATACAACAAGAATAACATACCCCATCTAATCTCACCTCTAAGGTGGCATGTACATAATTTTATTCCTATCTTACGGAGGCAGAGAGATTGTTTTTGATAGCTCTTTGGCTCACTATTATTATTATTATTTACAACCTCTATAATTCTCTGCCAATTTTGGAAAATGTAGTACCCAACGAACATGTGTATAACTTTTGGCGAAGGGTGTTCAACTGACTACCCTTGTCGGTTGTTAGCTCACTATTATTATTATTATTTACAACCTCTATAATTCTCTGCCAATTTTGGAAAATGTAGTACCCAACGAACATGTGTATAACTTTTGGCGAAGGGTGTTCAACTGACTACCCCTTGTTGGTTGTTAGTTCTTCCCTAGTTAGCACAAAAGAAAATGTGTGCAAGTAGTATCATTACTGCACTGCCAAATCAACTTTCTTCTGTTCAGTAAAGAAAAGCATTGTAAGCTATTCAGAACAATCTCATGACTATAACAATATGCTGCAAATCACAAGAAGAAAGGTCCTTAGTCATACTATATGTTATTGTTTCCCACCCTAATTGTCACGCTCATGGATGGCGCGAAGGTGGAAGACTAAACATTTCATATATAGCCCGAAAAAACTGAAAAAGTTACTGTGATAGAATCAACTGATACAAACGAGTTTTTAGCTTCTGTAGTTTTGCTGTACTGAATGTCTAAAACCTGTGATGTGAGTTGACGAACAAAAGAAGTAAAATCTACATCATTCTTGTCACCATAAAGAACACGAAAATGGTTGACCTATATACACAGGTATAATTCCTCAATCTGTCTGTCACAAAATGTACCAACTTATGGAAGGACAGAAAATGGTGGAGTATGCAAGTATGCAACACATAGACAAGGAATAGTACATTTAGTTGGGACTTGAACGCATTCAATATATCTATTTTAATGCTAGCCATCAACCAGTCGCCTATGCTAACATCACAATAAAAAAAACTGGCAATTGCTTATACTTCTCAGATATATTAGCAACAGAAAAGCAAAACATCATATATAAGATAGAGCTATAGTTACCCGTAATTCAGATCCACGATAGAGTTATGAACTTACTTTATGATATTCAAATACGAACAAGCTAAAACATGTTTAGCTTTATTTTCAGACATAAGAGTCGTACATCATTCAGCACTTGTTAAGCACTAGCAGCATCCCCAATAAGCTTGAAGTCTTCAACTTGCTTGAAGTTCTCCCATGACTTCACCCAGACCTTGGCTTCATAGACTTTCTTCTTACCACCTTCAGTCGCCTCCAGTGTTATGTAGTACATGGTTCCAGCAACCACTTGTTCTTTCACATTCACAACCTTTCCAAACTCCAAAAGAGCATTCTGATATACACAATATTGTTCAAAAAGAAAGAACAGTGAGCCATGAGTGCTAAGCAATTAACCTCAGTCATAACGGAGTACAAAGAACACGAAGGTTGTACACTGTACATGCTTAATCACATATAGACAGACTTACAAAGTTGTAAAAATATGAATCCTTGCCTCGAAGTCAGTAAAGACTAAGATACTTATTTCGTTATTTCAGTTTCGATCAATGCAGCTCTTCATCTCTCTCGGATGACCACTATCACATCACACCTACCACATGCTAATGAGAATTGTTTCGAGAGCGTAAACTTAAATAAGATAGAAGTTGGAACAGTTGCACAAGCTTATCTCAATTAGTTTATCAACTTATAAACCACTCTCTTTGTCCCATACCAGAAACAATTCAACATTCAAGATTCAAAAAGATAAACTCTGATTGAAATATTCTTAGCTCAAAGGTTTAAATCATCAGACACTTTTTCCCCCTTTTTATAGGTATGACTAAAAGTTTAAAACAACAACATACCCATTGAAAATCCCACAAGTGAGGGTCTAGAGAGGGTAGAGTGTGCGCCAACCTCATCCTTACATGGTGGAGGTAGAGAGGCTGTTTTCGAAGGCGAGTAAAGTTTTATAACCATTACTACTAAAAATGATGTTATTCAGAATATAAAATTGCTACATTTGAAAATGATAAAACTAAATTTATTACTTGTTGAGGCAAATTAGCTCCCAAAAACAGACAGTGCACATAATTAGGAATCAAGTAATTTTATCCTTGAATAGCACAAGTAAGTAGCTCTTTTAATCTCAGCTCTTAGGGGTCGTTTGGTACATGAGATAACTATAATAATGTCATTACAAAATATCGGATTGACTATATCCCATATTTGGCTTAAGGCATTAGCTAGTCCTGGGATTTTTTTTATTTTTTATTTTATTTTTATAACCGAGAAATTCATTTGTGACCCGCCCTTAAGACCAATCACAGCCTTCTAAACTCGGTGGATAATGAGCCCGCCCCTCTATCATTCTCCACTTAAATACCAGGCTTCGCTTTGCATGGTGTGGGGCTTGAACTTGCGACCTAAGCCGCAAATCCTCCATCTTTTGCCACTTGAGCTAGGCCTTGGGGGCGTCCCGGGATTATTTTATCTCACCATTTGTACTAAAATAATGAGTTTAATACTCCATATGGACGGTGGAATAAAATAATCATATCGGATATCCTTTCTTATCCCATGGGATTATAACTAGAACTATAACCTGTATAACTTATCCCATATTTAATACCGATTTTAGCTAATACCTTCAATCAAACAAGAGGTTAATTTAATCCCAAATTCTAAACCGATATAACTCGCCTAATCCCTCCAACCAAATGATCCTTAAGGGTTTCCATTATTTTCAAATCATATCACTCTCTGTGTTTCAATTTGTTTGTCTCGTTTTGATTCGGTACGATATTTAACACACTACATAAAAAATTGAATCTTGTGATATTAAACATGTTCGCGTAGAAAGTTGAAATTAAATAATTGTCAAAAATAGGAACAAAACATTCTTGACAAGTAGTGACGGATGTTGCCCCTTAGCAGTAAAATTGAGTTCACCTAATTTGAAACTGAGATAATAGCAAAAAAATCCCATTTCAAAACCCACGTAGAAATCAGAATAACAAAAACAATCAAATTCATCCACAAACAAAGGGAGAAAAGGGGGAAAAAAAAGGAACCTGTTTCTTATTGTGTTCATCAACAGCAAAACGAGCAAGATCGTTGATCTCAACGCTGTTTTCGGATCCTCCAGCTTCACGAATTCCTCCTAATGTCGCCATTTTTGAGTCTCTGTAAATGGGGTTTGAGAGATATAAGAAGAAGAATAGTCAGTCACAATCAACGAATTTAATGGAGCGCGTTTAATTAAAGCTTTGCACTGAATAATACTCTCTACTAGCCCATACAATTTTGCTTTTTCGCCCTTAGGCGGTGACGGGTCATAACGCACTCTATGCACAATAAATTTATTTTAACCAACCGTCGGAATATGTACAAGATATCATAGGGGTTTAATATCTTAATAACACATTTTTATAAAGTTTCGTATGAGACTTCATATTCGAAATGCAGGAATGATCTGGCTAGAAAGTTATTCAAAACTTGATCGAAAAATCAGTGTTTATTGAAGAAGTTATAGAGTCGATTACTAATAGTACTAGTTTGAAAGGCTCTCGTTGGAATTGATTCATTATGAAATTAACATTATACTCGACATAAACACTTGAAGTACTAAGGGGACTATCTATTGATTTGGTAATGATTGGAGTAGCAAACTCGGATTGGATAAGAATATCATTTTTTTTTTGTAGTACCTAGGGGGAATTGGCACACCCTCTATTTGAATAATTAATTTGACTGGTTTCATAATATATTTTTATTGTATTGTATTGTTTCTTTAATGAATATAATGTTTGAATATATTTTATTATTCTTCAGTTGATAATATTATATATCAATAATTTGAATGATAAACATAAAAAAGAATAGAGATAAGTAGTCAACTGTAGAAGGGTAACAACATAATTACACTAAGGGCCCATTTGGCCATGCAATATGGTATCATGATATTGAATCATGAGATGGAATCATGAGATGAAATTGAAGTTTTGTTTGGACATGCGATATGAAATTTTTATGTTGTATATTTTCTCATAAACATAAAAATCACATAAGTTGTAAAACAATTAAAATAGCCCCAATTGTTTATTCAATCTTATCAAATAAACAAAAATTTATAAAATCACATAATAAATTATTACAAAGCTATTTGTTCTCCACTTAAGTAATTGTTTCATTTAACTTTAATTTAATTTAAAAAAAGAACATAAATTGTAGTGTACTAGTCTTTAATATAATCCTCCTACATAGTATGAAAAATTTCCTCACGTTTAACTTGTATTTCTCGATCACATGATCGAGAAGACGAACCAACATTGTTAATTTGAGCCATTTGTTGGTCAATATCATCCGCAACTATATTTTCATGCTCATAGATCATAAATATTTCATCACTTTAACAATCGGTTGGTGTGAGTTAAAGTGACTATATGTTGGTGAGAATTATAAATTTTATGTCGGTGAGAATAATAAATTTTAAAAAGTAATGATGTGATGATAAATTTTATTTACATAAAAAATAAATGGTTAATAGATATAAATGTGGGGTTGTTTTAACAAAATATAAACTCGTGGATTAATTTTTGTATTAAAATATCTCAAATCATGATATGAAATTACCATATAATTCCATCTCATGGTTTTTGGAGAATATGGAATCATGAGATGAAATCAACGTAAA